AAAGGAGACTGGCTCCAGTTTTTTTGAAAGAAGTCTGTTGGTGGGAGGCCAGGCTACCTTTTCCGTGCTTGAAGACCAGGTAATGCAGGATTGAGGACACATGTTTTCATTTCCTAATTTCTCTTCCCCACACTAAAATAAATTTCAGTGCAAAATATTTTTTTTACCTGACACTGGATGTCTGGCTGTGAGTTCTTTCTGAGCTGAGTCTGGCTCAGAAAACGGAATCATGGAATTCCAAAACACATCATACACTTGTATGGAAAGGTACCTTCTCAATGAGCTCAATGCAGGCAGCCAGGTCCATCCCAAAATCAATGAACTCCCATTCAATTCCTTCCTTCTTGTACTCCTCCTGCTCCAGCACGAACATGTGGTGGTTGAAGAACTGTTGCAGTTTCTCATTGGTGAAGTTGATGCACAGCTGCTCAAAGCTGTTGAACTGCCCAAAGCAAGGAGAGGTGCGCAGGTTCTCAAGGTGTGACAAACACCACAGCATCTTGCTACCATTCTCCTAGTGCTAGCTAATGCTGTTGAAGTTCCCCAGCTGGAACGCCACTCCTAACCGTACTGCAACAGCACGTGTTTCCTTAGCAGGACTTCCGCTGTAAAATTTACTGTCCTCAAAGGATTTCATTCTTATTACTTCTGAAATCAAACTAAAGGTAGCATTTCTTTTTAACTGTGCTAATCAAAAGCAAGTCCTTCCATAACCTTAGCTGCAGCATCCTGTAGGTGTCTCAGCTCTCTAACCACCCAGAGAGGGGAAACCTCCTCAGTGTCCCACCCAAGGACTTCTCTGCGTTCAGATCAGCAATCAGGGGGTTCCTCCACCCTGACACAGAAGTCCTGGCATCGCCACGGCATTCACAACACAGGAAACATGCTGGGAACTTTTCCTTCACACTGCCCTTTCCTTGGCCTCTCCAAGAGTGGCCACACCCTTGGTCCACATCTGTGTGAGCCTTATTCCTAGGGCTGTCTCTATGTCTGCAAAGCCTAAGACCTTTGCAAGCTCAAGGGCCTCTGAGACCACTTGACAGAAAGGAGAGCTTTCTTCTATGGGTTGACAACCTTACAATCAAAGTCCCTGTTAGAAAAGCCATTTGTGGGTGCTAGACAGACAGAGGGGTTTCTGGAAAACTGCAGATGAGCAGGTTAAACTTCTGAATCTTCTTAAAAAGAAGTGTGTTTCTGACTCCGCATGACCCCATCCTGGCCCTCCCTTGACTACGGTGCCAAATCCATGCTCCTTACATCAAAGATCTCAAAGCCAGCAATGTCCAGGACACCAATGAAGTACTGTCTGGGCTGCTTGGTATCCAGCTGTTGGTTGATGCGAACAACCATCCACAGGAACATCTTCTCATAGACAGCCTTTGCCAGGGCGCCAACAGCATTGTTCACCTAAAACAGACAGAGAAGAAAGGACCGGAGTTTCCTCCTAGGATCAAAGAAGATTCCTCAAGTATTCTTTCACGCCATGTATTTTCCACCTCCAGATTTTACCTGTTCCACATTTTGACCTTTGGTGACATATTCATTCCCAACTTTGACTCGGGGATAACACAGGGCTTTGAGTAACTCAGCTGAGTTCAGGCCCATCAGGTAAGCAGCCTTGTCAGCCACTGAAGAGGGGCAGAGAAAGAGAGAAGGATTTATCTTTGAACAATAGCTAGATTTTGTCAGTGTGAACAACTCTGCTGGTCATGTTCTAGAAATGGAAGAGCATTGCTCTGGTTTCATACACAAGGTCAGGGAAGAAATTGTATGTATTTTGACAGCCTCCCTTTCATGCTGTGTTTTTTAGGCATGTCCTTTTGATAAACTATTGATATTTCCAATGTTCAGGGAAGCACCTCTGCAATTAGACAAGACAGTGATCAAAGATGCTTCTCATCACTGCTTGATGTGGTGACTCAAGCCAAGAAAAACCTGTCTAAAAATAGTATCTTCCAAAAACTTATATGTATATTAAAAAGTCAGTTGCTAAGGACCTTCTGTGCCATCAGGCTCTGCCTGCTCCTCTCGTTGTTTCTGCTTGAATTTCAGGTTCCCGTAGTGCATGACAGCCCCTGTCAGCTTGTAGATGGCCGTCTTTTCATCAGGAGTGAATCCCAGGATGTCAATGGCACTCTGCAGTCAAAACAATGAATTAAAAACATTGCCTAATAACCTCAACAATCTCATTAAAAACATGTTCCTTATAGTACTTACATCTGTAGCCATGAGCTCCTCCTGGTCATCAATGCTGGGAACAGTGACCTCACCTTGACTCACATAGTGGAAGTCAAAAGGGTTCGTGGTAATGAGGAGCATGTCTGAAAGCAGGAAGAGACAAGGCACAGACTTAGATTTTCCAGCCAGGTAATAGAGGGAACTGTTTCTCCCCAAAAAGTCATAATGATCCTTCCTACCAATCAACTCCGGCTTCTTGTTGGACATGATCTGGTAAAATATGTGGTAGCTTCTTTCTGCCTTAAGCTGGAAAGTGACTCTGGACTTCTCCAGCAGATCTGTCATGGAAGGTAGAAAGAGTTTGGCCCAGGAATGCACATGGAAGTGGGAATTTGGGAAGGAAAGGGATCAGGCCAGGAGAGTCTCTTACAGGTTTCAATGTCAGCAGAAGCCAGTTTGCCTGTGGCTCCAAAGTGGATTCTGATGAATTTGCCCTGTTAAGGAGAGGAAGCAGCATTTCAGCCTGGATGAGTTCTTTTGGCATCTCCTTTATGTGGAACGGTCTAGGGCCAACACTTATCTTGTAATGAGAGGGAGAGATTTTGTCCAAAATAACAACTTACAAAGCGTGAGGAGTTGTCGTTCCTCACGGTCTTGGCATTTCCAAAGGCCTCCAGCAGTGGGTTGGCGCTGATGATTTGATCCTCAAGTGTTCCCTGCAGGATGATAATTACCACTAGTTATCTTTCCAAAAGTTACATCAGGAACAGTAGAAAGCATTGATGCAAGGTAAGATCTATTAATGAATGACAATTCCGTGATACTTAAGTGTTCCTTACAGGATGATAATTATTCAGCTACAGTGTTTAGTTTACATAACAATTACACATCATAGTTCAGTGATCAGAAATCTACAAAATAACAAGGTTCTAACTCACCTGCATTTTTCCAGGCTGGTCTTCCTTCTTCTTCTCCCCACTGGCTGCAATTGTTGCAAAGTACTGGATGACACGCTTTGTGTTCACAGTCTTCCCGGCACCGGATTCTCCACTGTCCAACCAAAGAGAGAAGCAGAGAGCGTGTGGTCAGGCAGGAGGTCCCCTGGCACCGGGCAGCCCCACAGAGACCCGAGCAGGGGGTGTACATACGTGATCAGGATCGACTGGTTCTCGCGATCTGTGAGAAGAGGCAGAAGCAAAGAGATTAGTAATATGTATCATGAATATTCTCGATAAAAATATTCCTGGGACTTTAGAAGGCACACTAGCAGTAGGTATCTAATTCCTTTTGTAAACTTGTGTGCCTTCACCTCTAATTCCTTTTGAATATTTTAAAGTTCCCAGCTATATATGGGAAGCTCACATGTGCAGACTGTAATGTCATAATGTGGATGTCAGTTGTCATATACGAGCATCTTTTTTCTGGATATTCTTTTCATGTCAAGCTTCTTTATGAAAAGGATTCCAACTAAGGAGTATTTTTGTAATCTGTAACCTAAAGTGAACTGAAGCAGGTTCTTCTCACAAGCTTTCTGACATAGGAACAAGCACTACTGATCAGTCCATAGGCTCCCCAAATGGTTTTTCTGTTGTTGGCCAATTGATTGTTGCCTAAACAAAATCACAAAAACATCATAAGTGTCTAAGTAATATTTTACTGGAATACTCTCTCATACTCTAGAATATTGAAATTTTCATATTTCCAGGGCTAGATTTGATGGTTTTGTTTGTAATAGCTTGGTCTGAGTTTGCTTTCCAGAATTTTCTCTGGCTATATTTTTAACCCACGCTCAGTTCTTTTTGTGTTACATCAGCTTTTGTCATCCAGTCTGCTCTGGCATTGAACCACCTACTGTGTAAAGGAAAAAAATGTCATTGTTGCTGGGCTTGTTTTTTCAGGTACCCTTTCCTTGTTTATTCATCTTCTCTATGCCATGCATTATTTTCTAAAGTAGCACAAATCTTTTGTCTAGAGTAACCTGAGCAGATGTCCTGTCATACCTTTTGGAAACCTTTTCATTTTTGTCTTCACCTGTTCCATTTCTACTATATTCTTTTTTGAAAAAGGAAGGGCAGAAATGCCTACAGTACACAAGGTGCAGACATTCCTTGGATTACCACCATGATATAATGATGTTTTCTCTTTTAGTCCCTGTTTCTTGCCCAGTGATCTCCATCTTTCACCTTGTTATTTTGTAGATTTCTGATCACTGAGCAAAATTTTTTGAAGCTGTATTAAAGGATATCTGTAACAAAAGCAGTAAAAGCAGAAAGCGTCAGCATTTCTAGATCGTTGAAAAAAATGTTGAACAGCAGAAGTCCCAGAACAGATTCCCAGTGCAACTTGATTGATAAATTATTTCCTCTAGGAGAACTGAAAAAGACCCATCATTTTTACCATGTCTTCCTTTTTCTTCAACAAGTATTTTTGAACCTTCTTAACTCTATAGCTAGTAGTGAATGTAAGCTTAAAAGATCATGCTAAAAATAGCTGCTTTATCAGCTGTACTGAAGATCTTTGCTGAATTCAGGTAGGTTACCTTGACCAGCTCTCTTTTGTTAAGAACAATCAGTATTCCGGTAAGGCAAGACTTCCCTTTAAAAAAAATGTATCTTTTCTTTCTTGGTAAGTCACATATACTCATATGCCCAGTAATTAACTTGTTCAGAAATTGCTGGCAGTTTGCCTTTTACAAAAATCAAGCTCACTGGTAGGCTGTTCCTTAAAACTCCCTCATAACTCTTTTTAAAAGTTACTGTAGCACTCATCATTTTCCAGGCATTTTTTAGTGAGAATTTTTGATCTGTAGAGTTCTACTGGAATGCATTGTTGAATTCTATCCTGGCAATTTGCTAGTGTTTATTTTGTTGTTGGGTTTTTTTAAGGATACTTGAGTCAAATGTTCCTGTGATGAATTGCACTATAAAGAGGAGTTCCAGAAATGAATGCTTCCCACACTGCTTTAAGGTAAACAAATTAAAATCTCATATCCTGGTTGATACGGCCTTACATTTTCCAAGTTGTCTTTTTAAATTTTGACTGTGTTGGTAGTACTCTGTAGAGTCTGTACTCTACAGACCCCTTTTAAGCCCTTCTGCTCCTTATGTTTTCGGGAAAGAAATAAGCATAATTTTTTATGCATGTTACAAGTTGTTCTCAAACCTATAATTTTGCATGCCTTCTTGTGTTTTCACACTTACGTTTTGAAGAAAGTCTATGTATGTTGAATAACATGCCCTAATAGGCTGTGTAACTGGACTAGCCTTCAAAGTGCTTTTTGCCAGATTATTTAAATTTGGTCTATGCCTCTAGGATGCTGTTTTCCAACAATCTGCTTGCAGTCTGAAGAGACTATGCCATTAGGTAACTAACTGTCAGTGGAAAAGTATGAATGAGCATTCATCAAGTTTCCACATACGTCATAAAGGTGCCAGAGAGAGTAAATGTGTGATTACTTAGATAAATATTGCCATGAGAAGGCACAGTAACCAAATATCAATTTATTATTGATCCATTTTCACAGTCTTCTATTCCAATTAACCTTCTTACTGCTCTGAATAATGCAGTAACTGGAGGGGGGAGTGTGGGGAAAGACATTCTCACAAATTAAAATATACCTGATTTTGTTTAATATTTTTCTGACTAATCTGTTCTTTTGTGAAAAACTGGAAAACTAGAAAAGATTTTGCTACTATTCTTTCTTATTTCTTTATAACAATGAATGGAAAATAAGAAATTATTTCTGAGATGGAGGGAGGAAGTATCCCTTTTCTGAGCAGGTTTCACTGTAATGTCTGACTAACACTGCTTCCTGAGTTTTTGTAAAAACACCACAGGAAGCATTGGCTTCAATACTGAATCCCCTTTCCCTTTACACAAAATCTTATTTACAGAATTCCACCCCAGTGATTTCCAGTCATGCAAAGCAAATAATTGAAGAACAATCCACTCAACTAGGAAAAAATCAGATCTTTAAAAGTTTATCCAAGTTTCTTAGAACGAATATCTGACAATATATTCAGTGTTAAACAGTATCCTCTCAAGTATCTTGGACAGCAAATTCTAACAATGATTGTTAGAAACATGATCTCAATGATGATGTCCAGTAAAGAAAACATTTCCAAAGATGAGAGGACATCAGCCTCCTCCCAAAAATATTAGACTGAACTATTTTGCAGTGAAAATATTTTTTTTATCCTCTGCAAGTGTTCACAGCCAAATAATTTTAAAGAAAATCAACTCACCAGTCAGCATGAACTGATAGGCGTTGTCAGAGATGGAGAAGATGTGTGGAGGGGCCTCCTGGCGCTTCTTGCCTCGGTAGGCCAACACCACCTCCGGGTTGTACACCGGCAGCCACTTGTAGGGGTTGACAGTGACGCAGAAGAGACCCGAGTAGGTCTGTGAGGAAGGCAGACAGCACGTTGGCTTCCACTTAGCCACTTCCAGAGCAGTTCCTCCCAGCTAGCCAAGGGAAGAGCGCTGCTGGTACTTACGTAGATCATCCAGGCTGCATAACGCTCTTTGAGGTTGTACAGCACAGCGGGTTCGTGGAGGTGGGTCATCATGGCCATGTCCTCGATTTTATCATACTTGGGAGGGTTCATGGAGAAGATTTGATCTTCCTTCACAGTCAGGGTCTGTCAGAGGAAGGAAAGATGCATGACTCTCTCTGAGACTGAGAATTACTTGCAGTTTTTAAGCCTCGGTTTTTACTCACCTCTCCTGCTTCACTCTTGACAGTGACCTTCCCTGATTCCCTACTCTGGATTGTCCCTTTCACAAAGGATTCCTTAGGATGTGCCACAAAGACGGATGACTTGGCATCAAAAGGCTTGTTCTGGGCCTCGATTCTCTCCTTTTCTGACTTTCGGAGGTAAGGAGCCGCCTCCCCAAAGGCAGCCATCTCAGCGTCTGGAGAGGCCATGGCTGCAGTTTACTGAAAACACGTCAGCAGAGAATCCTGTGGGAGAAACGAAATGTAGCATCAATAGGTCATTGTACATTTCTTGCAAGGAGATGTTTTCCAATGCTTTAGAATTAAGCACATACTAGAATTGCTAGAACTAGCAAAACTAGCCTTCTTCCTGTTTAATGATTTAAATCCAGAAAAGAAAAATCTTACTTTCATTTTTGAATAATGCAGAATAACCTTTAAAAAATTGTTCTTATTTGTGTCTTGTGACAATGTACAGATTGTACATTGGTTTTACAGATTGCACAGATTGTACATATAAGAATATGAATTTTGTTAAAGAACTTTCTTATTCTTATGTAAAATTAAAAAAAAAAAAGGAAAAAAGGTGTAAGTTGAAAATATACAGATGCCTTGAAAGCAGACGGTAAAACTTATTTGGAAACCAGTTTCAGGGGTTTTATATACTGTCTAACATGCAGTAAAGGGGGTTGCCAAATTTCAAAAAATCACTAGACCCAGCACACTTACCTTGAAACTGTTCTTGGAGACAGGGCCAAGCACTGCAAAGACACTTTTATAGAGTCTGGTTGGCAGATGCTCTAAGATTCCTCCTCTTTCTTCGGTCAAAACATTTTTTGGCAAACATTCTTTGGCAAAGCATTGTCTGGCAAACTTAACTAATGGCATAATTGTCATTTGATTTGACCAGATATATTTAGAAATGTTTTGTATCTTACCAATGATGTGAATGTATTGACTATAAATAATTTGACAAGAGACTTAAGGAGAGAATCTCAGTTAGTCAAGGCACTTGGAGAACTTGGATGTAAGACTTATGGATTCAATTGCTGCGTTTCCTCCTGGACCCAAGACAGATTTTTATTGTATGCCTGTGCTGCAACTCTTCGAGTTGCACTGTGGACATAACTTTAATTTTTTCCCCATGCTAATGAAGAAATGCATCAAGGGCAGCAGATAATATATGTGAAAAATGCTAAAAAGTTCTGTTATGATCTTTTATGTTCTTCTAATATTTAAAATGAGAGAAACAAAATGTGTTACGTTCCAAATTGCTACATACCACAATCCTGGCAACTCAGACGTAGCCCAAAAAAAATTACATTTTTTTTCTAAACATTCCTATTGAAAGATGGGTATATACAAAAGTATATTAGGTACAGAGCTGAGTAAGTATGAATGTGTAATAACTAGTGTCAAGCATTAAATTAATTAGCAAAGCTTGTATTGTGCATCCACATCTGGTACAGATTTTTCAAGATCATGATAGAACCAAAAATGCGAAGTAAATTTCTAAAAGGCTAAAGCCTATTCCTCACATAAATACCCATGGTCCACATATATGCTGCAACGTCCTCAACCAAATGGGGAAGCAGGGGAGGTCCCTGTAACCTTTCACTGCCTACAACTCGAAAAAAACCCACCCCTCCACCCAAGCACAACTCTGCACACAAATCACACACAGAGCATACGCTCTGAGACCCTCTGAGACCCTCTGATACATCCTCAGTCCAGCACTCTCATCCCATCACAACTGTCTTGCACATTTACACATTCATACAGTTCCTGCAACAAAAGCTATCAACACAGTGCTGCCTATATCGGAGCATCAGAGGTGGTAGGCAGTGCTGTACAATGCTGATACTCTGAGAAAAGGGGAATTTGCTGGTAGTCCTGGAGAGTGGCTGATCTAGTTCTAGGAAAAGGGCACTGTCACTTGAGCTGCTTTAAACACTGTCAGCTCTAAACACGTCCTTCTCCTGGTCATTGGCATTTTGGTTATTAAAAGAGCTCAGTGGACAAAGCTCTGTGAAGAACACAAGGGCAAGGTCAGAAAAATTATCCCTGTGATCCAAGGTAACGCTGTGTGCCCTGCCCAGGAGAAGCCCAGAAACAGCCAGAGGGAAACGGTGAGCACTGAGGTGTGTCTGAAGACCTGCCTCTCTGGGCAATCTCCAAGTCCCATGGACATGCAGAAGTTCTAGGACAGAGTCACAGAATCTTAGAATGCTTTGGGTTGGAAGGGACCTTAAAAAGATCATCTACTGCAAGGCCCCGTGCTGTGGATGGGAATATCTTTGACTACATCAAGGTTGCTCAGGTTGCTCAAAGCCCCAGTCCAACCTGAGCTTGACCGCTTCCAGTGATGAAACATTTCCAAATTCTGGGGCCAGTCTGTTCCAGTGTCTCACCAGCCTCATCTTAAAAAATCTCTCCCTTATGTCCAACCAGAATCGACCCTCTTCACCTTAAAACCTTTGCCCCCTATCCTGTTGCTACAGGTGTTGGTAAAAAGGTCTTTCCCTGTGTTTCTTAGAAGCGTCCTTCATATATGGAAAGGCTGCAATATGCGGTCTCCTCAGAGCCTTCTCATCTCCAGGCTGAACAAGCACAACTCTCTCAGCCTTCCTTTATAGGAGAGGTGTTCCAGTCCTTGGATCACTTTTGTGACCCTCCTCTGCACCTGCTTGAGCACGTCCTTTTCTTTCTTGTACTGGGGGTGAGTACAAGAAAGTGATACAATGCTCCAGGTGGGGTCTCATGAGTGCAGAGCAGAAGGGGAGAATCACCTCTCTCTGCAGGGCTGCTCTCAAGCCAGTCATCGCCTGGTGTATACTGATAGTGAGGATTGCCCTGACCCAGGTGCAGGACCTTGCCCCTGGCTTTGTTGATCTTCATTAGGTTCACACAAACCCATTCTTCAAGCCTGCCAAGGTCCCTCTGGAGGATCCCTTCCCACCGGTGTATCAACTGCACCACTCAGCTCTGTGTTGACTGCAACCTTGCTGAGGCTGCTCTCAGTGCTTCTAGGTATGTCATTAATGAAGATACTGACTCATATTCATTCCAGTACAAACCCTTGAGGAACACCACTGGTTTCCATTTGGACACTGAGCCTTTGACTCAGTGACTCCTTGGATGCAGCCATCCAGCCAATTCCTTATCCATCTAAGAGGCCATCCATCAAAACCGTAACTCTCCAATTTAGTGACAAAAATGTTGTGCGGGACCATTTCAAAGGCCTTAGAGAAGACGTCTGGGTAGACGATGTCTGTTGCTCTTCCTTTGTACGCTCCATCGTAGAAGGCCACTAGATTAGTCAGGCGCAATTTGCCTTCTCTTCAAGAAGCCATGTTGGCTGTCTCTAATCACCTCCCTGCGTTCCATAGTCTTTTGACAGAACGATTCTCTTGTCAAATGCTAGCAGCAGACACAAATCCACGGCATGAATGTATGCGCTGGCTACCACTTGAAGAAGAAACTGCAGTTGCAATGGAGCTCTATTTGGCATTTCTGTACTCAGCACGGAAGTTAACCTCTATCAATAGCTCTGCATTGACACCTTAGTCCCCAGGTACATGCAGTAGAAGTTAGCATAAAGGAATTACAGCTGTGTGAGCTGTGTTTGGTGTGAGGGAGCAGAACATACCTTGAAAGGTGACTGCTATTAATCAAGTAATAGTCAGGAAGATTATTGAAAGCAAACAAAGACCACTTTGAAAAAAGCAGTCCGTGTGGGATTTGCAGCATGCTGGTGGTGTTATCAGCCGTGCTGTCTGGATTAGCAGAGCGTGCCTGCAGGGATCAGTGCAGCCTGTGAATCACCAGTGGATTGTGTGACATAGGAGATCTAGCTTCAGGCTAATGCGTAGGAAGGCAGACTTGGTAGACAGCATTGGTTCCTGAAGTGGGATCTACAGCAGAGGTGAGATGTCAGTGGTCATCAAAGCATCCACAGTCCCTCCCTCTCTTCCTTCCTCCCTTCCTTCTTTCCTTCCTTCCTTCCTTCCTTCCTTCTTTCCTTCCTTCCTTCCTTCCTTCCTTCCTTCCTTCCTTCCTTCCTTCCTTCCTGATTTTATAATTTGTTTCACAGAGTGGATTTCCTAGGTACACGGTTAATGGGATTGTGTCTGTCGTGCATGGTGGTGTATGGCACTTCTCAGGTGGAAAACTAAAGATATCGTAAACCTCTATCTATCGTAATGGATAGGGATTGCATTTGTTCAGCATTGAACCCAAGGTGCTTAGAGGTGAAGCAAAAGCATTTCCCGTGTGTGCAGAGACAAAGGGTGTTTGAAAACATCCACTGTAAGAAGTGCAGCTTTCAAACGGTGGCGTCAGTTCTGTTGCAATTATTTGTTAGGCGTGCTGGGAGAGACATCGCCAGACCCGATGGGCAGTCTGACAGGGAATGCCCAGCCTCCATTTCAGCAATGTCCCTTCAGACAGCAGTCCTCTGTGTAAAAGGAGAACTCCCAGGAATGCTAGCCCAAGCAGAACAGAAATGCCGGCACCCTCATCCTCTGGAGGAAAATTCCTCTTCCCTGCCCTTTGGCTAAGACATGGCTGGGTGCTTGAGCCTGCATATGGTTCGGACACACTTTCCACATTACGAAGCCTGGTAATTCTTCTGAGGGGCAACGAGTCATGGGGAATTAAATATGAGGAGAGCTTTTTCCATGCCTAGCATACCATGTCTACTCCACATAGGTGTTTGTGGGTTACCTGGTTCAGATATACCCTGTCTCAGGACAGCCATGAAGAGACCACCATGGCCTTTTGTCATCTCCTCATGCTGCTTCTCCACTCAAGGACCAATTTCTGCAGGTCTTCCCTGACCCCACAGCCAGGAAAAGGGAAGTGACTGGATCTTTCCTTCAAGAAGTTTGATTCACAGCTCTTTCTTTTGCTCATGTCATCTCTTGACAGAGATGACATTCTTGCGTGGCTTCCTGCAGCCTGGAAAAGAGTGAGCATCTCAGTGGAGAAGGACCAGATTGTCTAACTGGAAAGGTAAGATGAGCAGCTGGTATGACAGACCTGTCCTTTGAAGTTGGGCTGGACTACTATGAGTGCCTGATTTGGTGGATATGCTCTGACTGGCAGCACCATTTTCTACCTGCAAAATCCACTTGAGGTGGAGGCTGGCCTTCCTTCCCCTGTCCCGTACACAGAAGTCAAAGAATCAGTGGCTTGCTGT